GTTCAAAATAGAAGAGAAATAGAATTCTACTTTTTCTCAAATTGAGTTTGTCTTCTACAGAATACAAGTTTGGTTTGTATATTTAAATAGAAAAAAAAAATGTTACAGCATTCCTTTGATCCAATGACTTTTAATTCGTGGGATCAAAGGTTCCTTTTTTTTTCTTTTTTTCTTTTTTAATTTTCAATTCAAAATGTTTTTATTTGAATATATAAAATATGAGTTAAATAAAATAATGTTAGTGTGACTTTTAAAGAAATTTTATGTATTAGAAAGAATGTGTTCTGTTATATGTTCTATTTAAGAATTAAATATATAAAAATGTGAGTTTATGTCCAAAAACATTAATTGTAATTTGTAATAATGTGGAGCTTTTTCATTGTTCCTTATTGTACATGCTCTTAGGTGATATTTTGAATCAATTTATAGGTTTGTGGTTATCTATGACAAGCAAAACTAAGGAATATATCAAGACTAAAGGATTCCAAATTCTCCATATAACTTTCACATGTAATTTAAGATAACATTTGTATATGGTATATGAATAACAATTGAAAACTTATTTTTAAATGTATAGTTTTTATTGAATGGTTTCATTTGATAAAAAAATAATTAATTATAATTTGACAAAATAGAAAATCAAGAAGTCTTGACATGTCAAAACTTTCATCAAGCCATTAATCACGTGAGTTTTAGTTTGGGGTTCACACGATGGATGACTTGATAGACGTACTAGCATGTCAGGATGTTTTGAAAATTTGGGACCCTTATAATTTATATGCAATATAAACGCATTATAAAGTTAATTATAATAAATAGAGGGAATGGTTCTCTAGAAAAATCAGAAACACTTATCTGCTCGGCTTAGCTTTTCCTTTGTTCTATTGATCGAGAAAATGGGCCTAATAAGCCCAATATGGAAAAATGGGCCTAATAAGCCCAATATCCGTTTATCTAATCTCTTAAGGGCAGGGAGGCCATGCAGCCCAAGGCCCAATCAGGCTGGTAAACTTCCTGCTTAATTAATAAGGCTTGTGTTTAATAACGGAACTCAATTTTTTTAAATTTAAATTTTGAATTTAAGTTCTATAAATAAAAAAAATAGATATTAAAAGAGTTTTTTTTTATGGAGTATGACATTGTTCAATTCTAAACTAATCGAAAACAGTGTTCTTTTTAGATGCTAAGAGATTAGTATCAAAAAAGTATTATCAATTGTGTAGTCTAATAGTAAAATTAATTATATTTGTAATTATAAATTTAGAATTTAATCTATAGTTCTAGGTACTAAAAAGGGTTTTGGTTTTTAATTTCGTTGTTTTAGTTTTAAAAAAGAAAATGTTAGCTGCACCTGTTGTGCATTCAAGCGATAGGTCTGAATTTATTTTTCCTTTTAAAAACATTCAGAAAGGAAAAAGGAAGGGGAGGAACCAATGAGGGACCGAGTGTTTATGCACTTGGCCACATAGCACTCCTCTTTAAAAATTCTGCAATGGTTCAAAACCAAAACTAAAACCAATAATTTGTTTAAAAAAGGTTTCAATAATGAAGCTAACGCTGTAAACTTTTTTAATATGTTAAAGCTATTTTTGTTTCTATTCTCTAATACTCATAATAATATTATTGACAAATAAATATATAACTATTCACTTGTTTGGTTTAATAGGAGGAGAAGAAATTTTTCTATTTGTATAACAAAAATTAGAAGAAAGGAGAGAGAACAGGAGTGGATGGGAGGGATTTTGCTTTAATTTTCTTTGTAATTTAGTTTATCCAAAGACAATCCTAAATCCCTCCCTTTCCTTCCACTTTCCCTTAAGCCAAACACTTTATAAATGAGTCTTTTTTTCGTTTATTTACTCAAAAAAATGATTTTTTTTGGGTTTAAAATTACAAGTTTTCCTTTTATGTTGATTCTTGAAATATTTTTAAACTAACTTTTACATATTTTAAAATTAATCTCTAATGACTCAGATAATCATAAGGACACACTCTCACGTAACCTGATGATTTCAAAAAAAATAATTTCCTTATGTAATAGCTTTAATAATTAAATCTTGAATTTGACTTTAAAAAAAACACTAACCAATAAATCTAACCTTTATAAAATAAAAAACCACATTATACTAAATACATTCTTAAGTAAACATCCTAATGGCTAATTATATTGGAGTCTCCCCACCAGATAAACTACTATCCTGATCAGAGAGGCACATGGCTTCAATCATGAAAGTTAAAGATTTTCCAAGGATAAATTGAGTACTTTTGTTTGGATGGTAGGAAACAGGGGCTCCAAATTAAGTTCTGGTGCAGGAAAGCCTACTCCTTATGCAGAAGGCAAAGTGTGCACTAGCACCTAACCATCTAGAATCTTCAATTATATTGTGAAAATTTTTTAAGTGAATAGTTTATTTTGAGATTCCTATGTGTGGTAGGATGGTGGTGGAGATAATGGAGCATGCGGCCATGGCTGCCAATATTGCTTTGCTTTTGAGTTATGCTCATTGTGGATCTAATTATAGCCTATCTTTTGTTTGAACGTGAAATCTTTGATTTGATGTCATTATTGTTAGTATGCTATGGTTCCTTTTGGAGATGCAACCACCACTTTTTGATAGGGTGCACGTGAAGAGGGAATCTCTTCTTCACATCTCTATCCCAGCCTAATTCCATATTGTAAACTTGTGATTCTTCATATATGCGCAATGGTTTGCACCTGAATTTATAACCCCATTGATTTAGTGAATGCCCTCTAAGTACATGCATTAAAATCCATTCTTCTATATCATGAGACTTCTAATCAAATGGGTGAGAATTTGGCAATGGAAGAATCCAATTAATTATGAAGCATTCAATTATGCAAATTAAACTGTACAATACTTTCTGTTTTTATATTCCTCTGTTTTCAAAGTAATGAAAAGGAGTTTCATCTCATAAACTCCTAGCATCATTTTTGACAAATTATTGCAAAAAACGAAAAAAAAAATTCAAATAAAAACAATCAAATTATCAACAATAAACATGAATTTTGCATTAAGGAAATTTTCAATCCTTCCTCCATGCATATAGCAACAAAGAGAAGCCTCCATTACTCCCATTTGACCTAGTGGATGAAGAGCATGAACTCCTCCCACAGTCACTGCTTTCCTCCGCCCATTGCAGCACACTTGAGCACGACGGAGAGGAAGACAACGTCACCGATGGCTTTGCAGCTAAGCCGGTCACAGAGGACAAACTCTTCCTCATCAACCTCTTCTCTGGCCCCACCATTTCCGGCCACACACCGCCATCGCCGACTTGAAAAATGAACACTCCATGGCCATTTCCGTTCCCAAGTATATCAGTATCATTCCTGAGATTTTTATCATTATTTACCCAATTGAAAACATCCCAAAAGAATTCAACTTCGATTCCATTAACATAAATTCTTTCGTTCCCTCTGAATTTCCACTCTAATCTCTTCACGAGAAGACTCGTTTTGCCATCCACTTTCACCTTAAGGACACCTTCGCCACATTCTATGCCTATCTCATGTTTGGATCCCAAGAAATCAGCTCTAGAAACAAAACGCTTTTGTCCAAACACATGCTCTCTGCGGGATAGCAGGGATGCCGCTGGGATTTGGTGGGTCGTGACCAAACCGGAACGCCGGTTCAACTCATCGTGAAGATCACCCAGCAAAAATTCGAGCTTGGCATTGCAAGAGATGGCGATGTAGAAGCAGGATTCGGGCTCAGCGGAGTCGCGGTTGAACTCTGCTCGAGTGAAGTCCCAGTAAAGCTTGATCTTCTGGTAATGGTGGTGGGTCATGTAAATGGATTTGGAGCCAGGGCGATTTCTGAAGAAGGAGAAAGTAGATGGGTGGAGGGAGATGGTGAGTGAGAAGCAGTCTGCGGCGTAGATGGTGAGGGAGTGGGAGAAGAGGGTTTTCGACCATGTGAGAGTGAGATATGTTGGTGAGTTGCGAAGCTGAGTTTGGTAAATGCAAGTAATGAGATTTTGAGGAACTTGAGAGCCACTCGATACTGTGTTAGGATGGCTGAAACACGCTGGGATCATGGTGTTCGACGAAATGCCTCAACCAACTTCCGAAGGATTAAAGATGATTATGATTACATGGGAAGCTTTATTTGTAGGCTCAATTTCGTGGGTTGTTTAATTTTAGAGGTAACATACAAAGAAACATGTTGAGATCATTGTGTTGGACGAAATGCCTCAAACAACAGAGAGAAAAGGAGACACAGAAGAAGAATACCAAAAGAGATGATTTTGATGAGATAAGACGCTTTGTTTATGAATGTTTGATTTGATTGTAGTCTAGAATTTGAAATAAAACTCAGGCTTCTGTATTTCTTCCATCACCATAATCATCAACAGAAGTTGATAGACCTAATGTTGGCTTCCTTGATTTACGCCTGAGACAGGGCTGCCTTTTAAATCCCTCCATATCCCGGCAAAATTATTTTTGGGCCCTTATAGTTTTATAACAGTAACATATTTATCCCTTCTTTTTTTGGCTTCAAATAGTATATATCTATCCTTAAGTTGATATCAATTTAAAAAAAGTTAAACGTTAAATTTGGTCCCTCAACTTTATAAAGTTGCATTTTTTTGATCCCTCAATAATTTTCTGCACTTTTTAAATCCTTCAACTCTAAAAAATGTACAACATTGGTCATTCCATCAATTTGGACCTTTAAGTCCACTCATGTGGCATTTTTTATTTTTTTTTTTTATGACATGGAGAAAGAAACTTAAAAAGATGCTGACATGAATAAAACATTATGTCATGTCATATTCTCACAAATCAAATGCATCAAAACCCTTCAAATGGATCCCATATTACCAGCAAAGAACCAATTAAAAAAATAATATGTTTATGAACCCTAGAATGCTCCAGAGCAAAATTTGAATTCTCTATCATTGAACCCAACTACTGGTTTCATTAAAGCCATTGAGTTCAT